AGCCTGACGGACAGAGTGCGACCCTGTCTCAAAAAAAAAAAGGTATATATATATATATATATATATATATATAAAATATACATATATGTGTGAATTTGTAACTATGGCTTGCTCGTTTTCATCACAGGTATGTATAAAATATACATACATGTGTGAATTTGTAACTATGGCTTGCTCCTTTTCATCACAGGTATGCTTTATCTAAAGCAGCCTCCACTTTCCCTCTCACCAGTAACTAACTGTTTTGTTACCCATCTAGCTTTTTCTTTTCTTTTCTTTTGAGACAGAGTCTCTATCTGTCCCTAGGCTGGAGTGCAGTAGCACGTTCTCGGCTCATTGCCACCTCCACCCCAGGTTCAAGCAGTGGTGTGATCTCAGCTCACGGCAACCTCTGCCTCCTGGGTTCAAGCGATGCTCCCGCCTCAGCCTCCCAAGTAGCTGGGATTACAGGCACGCACCACCACACCCAGCTAATTTTTGTATTTTTAGTAGAGACAGGGTTTCACTATGTTGGCCAGGATGGTCTCGATCTCTTGATCTCTTGACCTCGTAATCGCCCCGGCCCACTCCGCCTCCCAAAGTGCTGGGATTACAGGTGTGAGCCACCGCGCCCCCACCACCCATCTAGCTTCTTTCTTGTTGTTATTGTTTTTAATTGTTTCCAATTAGCTTTTTTATAGCATTTGTCACTACCTGAAACTACTGTATCTCCTTTAAGTTTACACTCTTATTGTCTTGTCTACCAATTTGAATGTATACTCTTTAAGATTAGGGATTTGTTGAAGTTATGTGCTGCTGTAAATAGAGCCTGGAAGGCAGTAGGTGCTGGGTAACGTTTGTTAAAAATAACAGGCTGGGTGCGGTAACTCAGGCCTGCAATCCCAGCACTTTGGGAGGCTGAGGAAGGCAGGTCACCTGAGGTCTGGGGTTCGAGACCAGCCTGGCCAACGTGGTGAAACCCATCTCTACTAAAATTCAAAAAATAAGCTGAGGCTGGTGGCACGCACCTGTAATCCCAGCTACCCAAGAGGCTGAGGCATGAGGAATGCTTGAACCCAGGAGGCGAAAGTTGCAGTGACCTGATACCGCATCACTGCACTCCAGCCTGGGCTACAGAAAGAGATGCTGTCTCAAAATAAAAAAAAGTGTGACACACAATCACATAACTGAACTACCTTTTCCTGAATCTGCAAAATGGAGACCATGATGGTGATAAATCTACCTCACAGACGGGCTGTCAGAAATTAAGTACAACCAGACAGTCATAAACTTTCACTCCCACTCTGATGCACACGAAAAAGGAAACCTTTGGAAGTCAGGCGCCGACCCAGTCCGTGAGGGCCCTAAACCCAGCTGGCTCCGGGGTGGACGCCGCTACCGGGAAGCGGGTTCTGGCAAATTACAAACAGCAGAGGGAACCTGCCCCCCGGGGCGGAGGAAATGGGCCTGACAGAAAAAGGAGAAGCCAGACCCTGGGCTTGAAAAATGAAAAATAAAAAGCACATCCCTTGGCTTCGCGCTCTAGTGAGGCTTTGGGAACCCCGCCGCGGTCGGAGGGAGTAGAAGGGGCGAGAGAAGAAGGCCTCCTCACACACTCTGTACCCCTGGCCCATTCCTGCCGCGCCTCCGCCTCCCACGACTGGCAACTTCGGGCTGCCCCAATCCTTCAGCGACCGGCCTCCACTCCTCGCCTCTCTCCTTCTCGGGCCCCAGCTTCCTCCCTGCCTTCCGCCGCCCGCTTCTCTCGGGACACAAGGGTTTCTCCCTGCTCCTCGTAATCCTCGCTGTCTCTCCACATCATGGATCGAACCCTCACCGGCATTTTGGCAGCGCCCGGGTTTCAGCCCAGAGGAGCAGGATCGAGTTCCAGCGGTGCGCTTCCGGTCTGGCAGCCCGGGTGGAGTAGGCGGAAGCGAGCCGGAAGGGTAGGGCGAGGGGGTGGGGGAGGACGAGGAACTTCCGGCCTTGCTGTTCCGCCTCTGGTTGCTGCGGCCGCGCGGTTCTCAAGGGGGCGCCAGAGCACTAGGCAGGGGTCCTGAGAGTGGCGCTTGGCTTGAGGTTTCAGAGTCCCAGAGATCAATCACCTTTTGTATTTTTTTCAACTTTCACCTTTTCAGGGCCGGGCGTAGTGGCTCACGCCTGTAATCACAGCACTTTGGGAGGGCGAGGCGGGCGAATCACCTGAGGCTAGGAGTTCGAGACCAGCCTAGATGGTGAAAACCCGTCTCTACTAAAAATACAAAAATTAGCTGGGAATGGTGACATCCTAGCTATTCAGGAGGCTGAGGCAGGAGAATCGCTTGAACCTGGGAGGCGGAGGTTGCAGTGAGCCGAGATCACGCCGCTGCACTCCAGCCTGGACAATAGAGTGAGACTGTCTCAAAAAAAAAAAAAAAAAAAAAAATCAAAAATCCCCTTTCCTGTGAAGCATTCTCAGGTCATTCTACTTTCAATTAACCCGACTCCAGTCCCATGCCTTATCCTTCTCTCCCGGTTTTTTTTTTTTTTTTTTTGAGACGGAGTTTCGCTCTTGTTACCCAGGCTGGAGTGCAATGGCGCGATCTCGGCTCACCGCAACCTCCGCCTCCTGGGTTCAGGCAATTCTCCTGCCTCAAGCCTCCTGAGTAGGCTGGGATTACAGGCACGCGCCACCATGCCCAGCTAATTTTTTTGTATTTTTAGTAGAGACGGGGTTTCACCTTGTTGACCAGGATGGTCTCGATCTCTTCGACCTCGTGATCCACCCGCCTCGGCCTCCCAAAGTGCTGGGATTACAGGCTTGAGCCACCGCGCCCTGCCCTCTCCCGGTTTTTCCCTTAGTTCTTATGATTCTCTACTTTACTCTTGGTGGTTGTCTCCCTATCCCTGTTAATACCAAAAAAGTAACAATTCATCCATTTTGTCCCCTGCGCCTGTAACAGTAATCGTATGCAGGAAGCATCAATAAATATTTGAGTCAATGAATGAACCTAGTGCACTGCACCTAACAGTGGAGAAACTGAAGGGCACCGGTCTCTGGGTTTGAATCCCAGCTCCAATACATACTAGCTGTATAATTTTGAGCATGTTAACTGGCCTCTCTATGCCTCAGTTCCTCACCTGAAAATGGCAGTAACACTATCTACCTGAGTTTTGTAAGGACGAAATAAATTACATGTAAAATGCTTACAAATTACATGCTTGTAGCATACCGAAAGCCCAGGAGTTTTTAACCTATTTATTGCTAGAAAGCTTATGTTAAAAGCCAAGTTCAGGGCCGGGCGCGGTGGCTCAAGCCTGTAGTCCCAGCACTTTGGGAGGCCGAGGTGGGTGGATCACGAGGTCGAGAGATCGAGACCATCCCGGTCAACATGGTGAAACCCCGTCTCTACTAAAAACACAAAAAAGTAGCCGGGCATTGTGGCGCGTGCCTGTAATCCCAGCTACTCGGGAGGCTGAGGCAGGAGAATTGCTTGAACCCAGGAGGCGGAGGTTGCGGTGAGCCGAGATCGCGCCATTGCACTCCAGCCTGGGTAACAAGAGCGAAACTCCGTCTCAAAAAAAAAAAAAAAAAAAAAAAAAAAAAAAAAGCCAAGTTCATTGCTACCTGAGAGCCATTTCTTCTGCCACTTCCCTGCCTGGAATAATGCCGTTTCCACATCTGATTTCTCATTCAGGTCACTGGCCAAATAGCACCTTTCAGGCAGGGCCTTTTTTGACCAACAGTCCAAAGCAGCCCTGTAGTCACTCTCCATTTCACTTCTGCTCTTCTTTCCATCCTCTCTCCAAGGTTTCCTTCCTCATGATCAGTCTCAGGCCAGCATGGCAGCCCCACGTGAACAAGGCCCTGCCTGTACTGTGGATCCCCATTCTATCCCCAGTGCCTGGCATCCACAGAAGTTCAGTAAATTTGTGTAAAGAATCAAGTCAGCTCTGCCAATGAGATAGTGAAATCCTTGAGGACGAATTGTCAGATTAAGCTTTGAAACCCCAGTGTCCAGTGTGGAAGGCACTGGGCCTTTCACTCTTCCCCACAGGCGTATACCATACTCTCTAGAAGCTAAAACAGGGAGGATCAAGGAAGAGGACAACTAAAAAGCTGCCTCTTCTTTCTTCCCCTCCTATGTGACAATAAAGTTTCTAAGAATTAGCAACCCTGGGAGATCAGGCTGTTTGCACACTCTCCAACCTCTAAGGGTCACAGGAAAGTCCCCAAGTAGCACAGCACATCCTCACGTTGCCCACTCATCATGCTCCTTGTTGAGTGGATGGTGGTGTGGACACCTGACCCTTCTCTCTAGCCTGGGCCCCCAGGCATAAGCTACCACTGATGCCTATAGGTCCTTGGTCCTTACATTTTGTGTTGTTGTTTGAGATGGACTCTTGCTCTGTTGTCCAGTCTGGAGTGCAGTGGTGTGACCCTGGCTCACTGCAACCTCCACCTCCTGAGTGCAAGCGATTCTCCCACCTCAGCCTCTCAAGTAGCTGGGATTACAGGCAGGAGCTACCATGCCCAGCTAATTTTTTTTTTTTTTTTTTTTTTTTTTTGAGACGGAGTTTCGCTCGTTACCCAGGCTGGAGTGCAATGGCGCGATCTCGGCTCACCGCAACCTCCTCCTCTTGGGCTCAGGCAATTCTCCTGCCTCAGCTTCCTGAGTAGGTGGGATTACAGGCACGTGCCACCATGCCCAGCTAATTTTTTGCACTTTTTAGTAGAGACGGTTTCACCATGTTGACCAGGATGGTCTCGATCTCTCGACCTCGTGATCCACCCGCCTCGGCCTCCCAAAGTGCTGGGATTACAGGCTTGAGCCACCGCGCCCGGCCGGTTTTTTGTATTTTTAGTAGAGATGAAGTTTCACCACATTGGCTAGGTTGGTCTTGAATTCCTGACCTCAGGTGATTCACCCACCTCAGCCTCCCAAAGAGTTGCCATTACAGGCGTGAGCCACCATGCCTGGCCGCATTTTGCTTCTTTAATTAAAAAGAATCAAATTAGACACTGCAGTGTACTTGTTATCTAGGACCAAAAATGATTAAAAACCTTTGTTTCTTTTATATATATATACATACATATCTCAAAACATAGTTATTTTTACTTTTTAAGTTATATAAATAATATACATTTTCAATATAGGAAAATGGGAAGGTACAGATAAGCAATGATCTTATGTATATCTTTCCAACTTTTCCCCTTCAGACATACATATTTTGTTACAGTAATTCCTGCATCTCAAAAACAACACAAAAAGTGAAAATAACATTAGACTAGCCTTAACCTTAGTTAGGTGCGAATTTATATTACACATAAATCTATGTGCATTCATTTCAATTCTGACTTACAAAATCTAAAGTGATGCTGTTATAATACTACTAAAATATTCCACTTTAAACAGCAGCAGCTTCAGGATAATTAAAAACTTGATTCAGGCATGCAGCTGATACAGAATGAAGTATTACTTTTTTTTTTTTTTTTAAATATTACTTTTTCATTAAAATAGGTAGTTTCTACTATTGCATCCTTTGAAGAGAAGACTGTTCTGCTTGTTTGGCCACAAGCTCTTCATGTATAGACGGTTACTTTTTAGGAAACTCTTCATTCACCCTGGCATTCTTGAAAATATTCATCAAACATAGAAGACTCATCTTCACGTTCCTGACACAATGGGAACACAAAATAGAAAATACATTCATTTCCCTTCAGTTAGAACTGGTATGTTGTTTAAATATTTTTCAGGTAATACCCTATGTGGAACTAATTACCCAGCACCAGCTCCAGGTGTTGCTTACAGGTAACTGCTAATAGTAAGAAAAGGCATGACTGACAGTTTTTCCAGATATGTGCTAAATTAATGTGCATCTATCTGAGAAGGATTTCTCATTTGAATTTACATTCACAATGATTCTCAGCTAATTTGCTGTGAGAGTGCTTTACCTCCCTGGTAGCCTGGTGGTCAGGAAAAAAATTAAAACAAAAATGCTTTGCTGACACTATCATTAGCCTTCTCAATGACATATGTGAAGGCAGCCCAATTTCGCCTCCTCTTTAAACATACACCCCCAAGGTCTGGGTACACAGAGGTTTTGTCATTCTGCCTCAACAAAAGTAGAGTAAACGTGATACTACTTGTAAAGCACAGTGTCAATTTCAGAGATCACCCAGAAAAGCCCAGGTAACTGCTATCAATAAGACAAAAAACTAATTTAAGGAGTCACCTGTATATGCAAGAGTCCACTGAGTGCTGGCAAATAGTTTTATCAAAAGCTAACAAACACCTCCAATCAGAAATTACCTTTGGTTCTTTAAATTCCAGGTCTTCTCCGTATTGAATGGCAAAATCAATATGCTGTAATACAATGTTCATACTTTCTTCATCTGACTGATCGTAAGGTAAAAATCGAACCATGCTGTAGTCGTCAATCTACAAGTTGGGGATTTCAAGAAAAGTCCATTCTGAAGTTGGGCAAAATATATAATTTTCAACTTACATTTGAGTTTTATAACCATTTGTACTTCTGATTAAAAACAGTGATGTGTTTAGGGGAAGGATAGGAGGGACAGCTAGACACAGTAAATCACTGATTTTTTTTTGACTTCTGATCTGCTAGAACATTTGTTAGCTTATTACTTTAACTAGACAGTTTTATGGGTATTTATCTGAATTTAGCCACCACCGGAAATTTCACAGGTGCACAAACAGTCCTGAACTCTCCAAATGGTTTGAAATAATGACATGTTAGTTAATTTATTGGCCACCACCAATAACTACTTCTAAATTAAACTTCTGACTGACCAGGCCACAGCCCTTTCCCCTCCTCCACTTTGTAGAAAATAGGGTTGGATTGTGCTTTTTATAAAGGTGGCTAATGACTGGACACAGTCAAACACTTGACCAGATGTCTAGGAAAAAAAAATTTTTTTTTTCTTTTATGAGATAGGGTCTCTCTGTCACCCAGGCTAGAACACAGTGGCACGATCATGGCTCACTACAGCCTTGACCTCCCAGGCTCAAGGGATCCTCCCGCCTCAGCCCCCAGAGTAGCTGGGACTACAGGTGTGCAGGCACCATGCCTGGCTAATTTTTTTTTTTTTTTTTTTTTTTTGAGATGGAGTCTTCTTGTTGTCAGCCCTGGCTGGAGTGCATTGGCAAGATCTTGGCTCATGCAACCTCCGCCTCCCAGGTTCCAGCAATTCTCCTGCCTCAGTCTCCTGAGTAGCTGAGATTACAGGTGCCTGCCACCACACCTGGCTGATTTTTGTTATTTTTTAGTAGGAACAGGGTTTTACCATGTTGGCCAGGCTGGTCTTGAACTCCTGACCTCAAGTGATCCACCTACCTCAGCCTCCGAAAGTACTGGGATTACAGGGGTGAGTCACTGAGCCCAGACATTTTTTTTTTTTTCTTTTTGGAGACAAAGTCTCCTTGTGTCGCTCAGGGTGCAGTGGCGTGATCTCCATTCACTGCAACCACTGCCTCCCGGGTTCAAGCAATTCTCTTGCCTCAGCCTCCCGAGTACTGTGACTACAGGTGTGCACCACCACGCCCAGCTTTTTTTTTTTTTTTTTGTATTTTTAGTAGAGACAGGGTTTCACCATGTTGGCCAGGGTGGTCTCAAACTCCTGACCTCAGGTGATCCACTCTTCTCAGCCTTCCAAAGTGCTAGGATTACAGGCATGAGCCACTGCACCCGGCCTAATTTTTATTTATTTATTTTTTTTAGACATAGGGTCTTAACTATGTTACCCAGGTTGGTCTTGAACTCCTGGACTCAATCCTTCCACCTTGTCCTGCCAAAGTGCTAGGATTACAGGCATGAGCCACTGTACCTGGCCAAAAAATCCAAACTTTAAAAGCTTACCAGTCCACATATAGCTTTAGTCAGTTTCTTGAATTTTTTGCTTCTTAAGTCACTTGTAGAATCTTCTAATAAAGAATACATGTCTGGATCTAAAAACCTTTAAAAGATAGAAAGACTGATAAATTCAGGAGACTAGGTTTATAAACCAACCAAACTTTCCATCTAAATAAAACAGAAGGTTTATCTCTGCAATTGAGATCTGATAATAATGGAAGAACAGTGAACTCACTTCTCAATTTCCTTTTTAGCTTTTTTACTCAGCAGATCCATTTTTGTCATGATGTTGACCTGTGGAATTTCTAGAGAGATCATGGCACTCAGGGCTGCCAAGATGCCAGAAATAAACTGAAAGAGGAAACAGAAAAGGGAAGATGAACTGACTGTTGCCAACAAAGTTACCTGGTCTTTGCACAGAGAGGCTTCTATTCCTCACTGAAACAGAATTGGCCTAAATAAAAGAAATGCAGGCTGGGCGTGGTGGTTCATACCTTTAATACCAGCATTTTGGGAGGCTAAGGTGGGCAATCACCAGAGGTCAGGAGTTCAAGACCAGCCTGGCCGACATGGCAAAACCCTGTCTCTACTAAAAATACAAAATTAGCCACGTGTGATGGCACGCGCCTGTAATCCCAGCTACTCGGGAGGCTGAGGAAGAAGAATCATTTGAACCTAGGAGGTGAAGGTTGCAGTGGCCCAAGATCGCGCTACTGCACTCCAGCCTGGGCAAAAAAAGTGAAATTCAGTCTCAAAAAAAAAGAAAAAAAAGAAAAGAAAAAACAGTTCCCTAATTAGGTGTTTGACTCTTGGTTCCCAAAGGTGAGGGAAGATGTTGACAACATACAGTGATCACAAATGTCAATTTAGACAGCATTTTAATTTCCTTTCCCATCTAATATTCCTTAAGAGCTAATAAAATAAAATTTGATCTAGATAGTTCATAAACTGGACAAAAAGTCCTCAGAAAATTAAAATAGACTATTTTATAAAATAGCTAAATAGTTATCTGCTTCAGTTTTTTCGCCCCACCCTCCTCTGCCCCGCCCCCCACCTTTTTTTTTTCTGTTGAGACAGAGTCTCACTCTGTCACTCAGGCTGGCCTGCAATGGTGCTATCTTGGCGATCTCAGCCATTGCAACCTCTGCTTCCTGTACTCAAGTGATCCTCCCACTTCAGCTTCCCAAGTAGCTGGGACTACAGGCACAAGCCACAACACCTGGCTAATTTTTGTATTTTTTTTGTAAAGACAGGGTCTCACTCTGTTGCCTAAGCAGGACTGGAACTCCTAGGCTCAAGCAATCCTCCTGCTTTGACCTCCCAAAGTGTTGGGATCATAGGTGTGAGCCACTGTGCCTGGCCACCTCAGTTTCTTCTCTCAGTTCCTCCTAAATCTCTATGATACCTTAATTTACTACTTTTGAGTTATAATATATTATCATGATAATTTAATAACAAAGGGATACTAAGTAATTCTGGAATTGTTTGTGAAATATCCATAATCACACAATAATTAAAGGAAACTGTCATCTGCTTGTACTCATAGTTAAAAAAAATCTGTAAGAGGCTTTGGGAGGTTGAGGCACACAGCTCACTTGAGGTTTGAGGTCAGGAGTTAGAGACTAGCCTGGCCAACATGGTAAAACACTGTCTCTACTACAAATACAAAAATTAGCCAGGCATGATGGCGCATGCCTGTAATCTCAGCTACTCGGGAGGCTGAAGCACAAGAATCACTTGAACCCGGGAAGCAGAGTTTGCAGTGAGCTGAGAACATGCCACTGCACTTAGCCTGGGCAACAGAGTAAGACTGTCTTAAAGAAAAAAAAAAATCTGTAAGAGATTTAGGTTCAGACCTTGAATGACTCCACCATGAACTGAGAATCAACAAGAAAAACTCCACAGACTCGGAATTCCCACTGCTCGAGCTGCTGGACCAGCTGTTTCATCACAGGCAGGTGAGTGTACAACTCAATCTGACCTACATGAAGAGTATTGCAAGAATTTAAGAAACAGCAAATATGTTAGAGGTAAAAAATTTTCCCCATAAGATGGATAAAACTAAAAGCCAACACATTTTTTTTTTTTTTTTTTTTTGAGACGGAGTTTCGCTATGTTACCCAGGCTGGAGTGCAATGGCGCAATCTCGGCTCACCGCAACCTCCGCCTCCTGGGCTCAGGCAATTCTCCTGCCTCAGCCTCCTGAGTAGCTGGGATTACAGGCACACACCACCATGCCCAGCTAATTATTTGTATTTTTAGTAGAGACGGGGTTTCACCATGTTGACCAGGATGGTCTCGATCTCTTGACCTCGTGATCCACCCGCCTCGGCCTCCCAAAGTGCTGGGATTACAGGCTTGAGCCACCATGCCCAGCCAAGCCAATACATTTTTAAGGGACCCACAGCCTCTCAAAGCAATCATAAAACCTAAGGTACTGCCACCATAGGAATCCCAAGCAAACTATTCAGTTTTAGTTAGGAAATGAGGTTCTATGGGTTGGGCAGAGTGGCTCATGCCCATAATCCCAGCACTCTGGGAGGCTGAGGTGGGTATATCACTTGAGGCCAGGAGTTCAAGACCAGCCTGGCCAATATAGTGAAACCCCATCTCTACTAAAAACACAGTAAAAATAGCTGGGTGTGGTGGCTCACGCCTGTAATCCCAGCACTTTGGGAGGGGGAAGCGGGTGGACCATGAGGTCAGAATTTCAAGACCAGCCTGGTCAAGATGGTGAAACGCTGTCTCTACTAAAAATACAAAAATTAGCTGGGCATGGTGGCAGGCACCGTAACCCAGCTAATTGGGAGGCTGAAGCAGGAGAATGCTTGAAACTAGGGGGTGGAAGTTGCAGTGAGCTAAGACTGCGCCATTCACTGCACTCCAGCCCAGGCAACAGAGTGACTCTGTCTCAACAAAAATTGAAAAAAAATTGAAAAAAAAAAATTGAAAAAAAAAAAAAAAAAAAAATTAGCCAGGTGTGGTGGTATGGGCCGTAGTCCCAGCTACTCCTTGAGATGCTGAGGCATAAGAATTGCTTAAACCTAGGAGGAGGAGGTTGCAGTGAGCTGAGATCACACCACTGCAATCCAGCCTAGGCGACAGAGTAAGACTATGTCTGAAAAAAAAAAAAAAAACAAAAAAAAAAAAACCGAGGCCGGGCGCAGTGGCTCATGCCTGTAATCCCAGCATTTTGGAAGGCCGAGGTGGGCAGATCACAAGGTCAGATGAAGACCATCTCGGCTAACATGGTGAAACTGCATCTCTACTAAACATACAAAAAATTAGCCAGGCACAGTGGCACGTGCCTGTAGTCCCAGCTACTTGGAAGGGTGAGGCAGGAGAATCACTTGAACCCGGGAAGTAGAGGTTGCAGTGAGCCGAGATCGTGCCACTGCACTCCAGCCTGGGCAGCAGAGCAAGACTCTGTCTCAAAAAGAAAAAAAAAAAAAGGAAAGAAAAATCAAGGTTCTTCACATTTTAGTTTTCTGCCAATCAATATGAGTGTTATTGGCCATGACTCACACAGCTATAATCCCAGCCATCTGGGAGGCCAAGGTGGGAGGATAGCTTGAGCCTAGGACTTTGAGACCAGCCTGGGCAATACCGTGAGACCCTATCTCTACAAAAATAAGTAAATGCTACAAAAGTAAGTATAGTTTGGGAACATTCATCAAGCGGTACACTTATGATACATATACTTTTCTGTGGATATATATAAGGTCAATTAAAAGCAAGGGGAAAAAAGTGAGGGTCCTAAATGGTCAAAGTCAGGTTAAGCTCAAGGTGAAAGTTCACAATTTGGGCTGGGCATGGTAGTTCACACCTGTAATCCTAGCACTTTGGGAGACCCAGGTGATTCACTTTGGGAATCGCCTAAGGTCAGGAGTCCGAGACCAGCAAGGCCAACATGGTGAAACTCTGTCTCACCTACTAAGTATGGAACTATCAAGACTTTAAGGAAGACAATGCATTCAAATTGTTGACTCACCTGGGCAATCAAAAAGGATATAGTCGTCTTCTACGTGGCCAAGACAGTTCTCTAGCCAGTCGAAATTATTGGCAAAGTACTCCATGCAAAATACCAATCCTCCATTGGGACCGAATCTCAGAGAATCATCCTCCATTACGTCATCCACCTCAATCAGTTCCCGAATGTCTGAAAAGAACAGATAGGGCCTATTATACATGTGTCCCTTCAACAACTGTTATCCTTACTAGAAATAGAACATAAAAGTTAACCATTACATAAAAAACTCATATGCAGGAAATTATGTACATGGTTTTTCACTGTAGCAGTGTCCATTAATAGAGAACTGAGCAAATAAATTACTGTACAGCCAGACAATGGAATACTATGCAGCCATAAAAGGGGGAAATCTCTTTAAGTATTAATAATACAACCTCCTAGGCATATTGTTTAGTGAAAAATGCAAGGTACAGAACTGTGTAAGAATGCTATCGTTGGTATTAATAAAAAACGAAAATTCACTACATAGGCAATACATATACATCTTGAATTTTATGTGCACAGACTATGGAAGGACACACCAGAAATTGGTAACACTGGCTGCCCTTAGGGAGGGGAGCTGATTGCTGGGACACAGAGCTGAGAGGGAGACATTTTCCTGTATACTTATTCTTTAGTCTTTTTGTGTTATGAACCATGTGAATATGTATTACCTATTCCAAAAAAGTACAAAACCAAAAAAAGAAAACCAATTATCATTTCTTACCACAATGACCCTAGGGAAGATACTTCCTCTCCCGGAGCCTCACCTTTCTCATCCTGGGGTAGAAGGATGAGAACTATGAGATAATGTATCAAAATCACCAACAGGGGCTGGGCGTGGTGGCTCACGCCTGTAATCCCAGCACTTTGGGAGGCTGAGGAAAGTGAGTCACTTGAGGTCAGGAGATCAAGACAAGCCTGGCCAACATGGTGAAACTGTCTCTACTAAAAATACAAAAATCAGCCAGGTGTGGTATCGTGTGCCTGTAATCCTAGGTATTTGGGAGGCTGAGGCATGAGAATTGCTTGAACCCAGGAGGTGGGGGTTGCAGTGAGATGAGATGGTGCCACTGCACTCCATTTATACCGATAACACCTTCCTACCCCTCCCCAGCGATAAATAGTTTATCCAAATTGGGACGATAAATCTGGCTTGCTTTCTTCGTAGACAGTTTCACTCTGCTGCCCAGGCTGGAGTGCAGGAGCACAATCAACACTCACTTCAACCTTGACCTCCTAGGCTCACACGATTCTCCCACCTCAGCCTCCTGAGTTGCTGGGAATACAGGTGCCACCATGCCCAGCTAATTTTTGTATTTCTTGTAGAGGTGGGGTTTCACCATGCTGGCCAGGCTGGTCTTGAACTCCTGGGCTCAAGCCATCCATCTGCCTTGGCCTCCCAAAGTGCTGGGATTACAGGTGTGAGTCACACTGCTCATCCTAAGCCTTCATTTTAACTAAGCTAGCTTAGAGTGCTTTCCGTTTGCTTCAACCAAATGGTTCCAAAGTGTTACAATGCTTTTTTTCTCAAAGATAGGCATTTCACATCTCCTCCTCTCCCTTCAATCCGCCTCCCCGGAAACTGCTCACTCATTAACAGAAATCAAAAGCCTCTTCTTTGCACTTAGTGAGTGCAAAGAGAACATCCTCAAACCTAAAATGACCAGTCTCCCTCCACAGGAAATGATTATCACACACTCAACAGAGCTGTAAGAATCACCCTTGATTCCTTACTTTCCTATGCTTTTTTGGTTCAATCCCCCACAAAAATGCTGTTAATTCAACTTTCAAATACATGTTGAATCTGTCTACTTCCTTACATCTTCACCATGACCACCTTTATACCTGGTTAACTACAACAGCCGCAGTGCAGGCTGTACTTTTTTTTTTTTTTTTTTGAGATGGAGTTTTACTCTTGTTGCCTAGGCTGGAGTGCAATGGTGCCATCTCAGCTCACCACAAGCTCCGCCTCCAGGTTCAAGCGGTTCTCCTGCCTCAGCCTCCTGATAGCTGGGATTACAGGCATGTGCCACCACACCCAGCTAATTTTGTATTTTTGGTAGAGATGGGGCTTCTCCATGCTGGTCAAGCTGGTCTCAAACTCCCGATCTCAGGTGATCCACCTGCCTCAGCCTCCCAAAGTGCTGGGACTACAGGCGTGAGCCACTGCACCCAGCTCTGCAGGTTGTACTTCTACTCTTGACCCACTACAGTCCATTTTTCATCTGAGCACTTGAGTTGTTTTTTAAAACACAAATCAGTCCAAGTGCGGTGGCTCACGCCTATTGCCCCAGCACTTTGGGAAGTCAAGGTGGGTAGGTCGCTTGAGCCCAGGTGTTTCAGACCAGCCTGGGAAACGAGACTAGCCTAGGAAACACGGTGAAACCCCACCTCTACAAAAAATACAAAAATTAGCTGGGCATGATAGTATGTGCCTACAGTCCTACCTACTCGGGATTGGGAGGCTGAGGTAAAAGGATTGCTTAAGCCCAGGAGGTTGAGACTGCAATGAGCAATGATTATTACAGCCTGGGTGACAGAGTGAGACCTTGTCTCAAGAAAAAAACCAAACAAACAAAAAACCAAGGCTGGGTGCAGTGGCTCATGTTTCTAATCCCAGCACTTTTGGAGGTCAAGGCAGACAGACTGCTTGAGCTCAAGAGTTTGAAACCAGCCTAGGCAGCATAGTGAAACCCTATCTCTACCAAAAAAAAAAAAATTTTTTTTACAAAAATTAGCCAGGCATGGTGGCATGTGCCCACAGTCCCACCTACTTGGGAGGCTGAGCTGGGAAGATGGCTTCAGCTCAGGAGGCAGAGGTCGCGCCACTGCACTCCAGCCTAGGCGACAGAGCTGGACCTTGTCGCAAAAAAAGCAAAAAAACCCCAAAACATGTATCAGATGTCAATCCTTTCCTCTACTTAAAACCCTCTAGTGGCAACCCACTGCCAACAGGATAAAATCCCATCTTCTCATGTCCTGTTAGTCCCTACCCACTTCTTTCTTTCAGTCATTCTGTTTCAGCTCACTGACATCTTGGCCTTCCTGGAGCATACCAAACCCTTTCTAACCCCCGGCTATTTATTTTTGTATTTTATTTTTCAGAGATGCATCTTGCAATGTTGCCCAGGCTAGACTTGGAACTCCTGGGCTCAAGTAATCCTCCCATTTCAGCCTCACAAGTAGCTAGGACTACAGGTACATCTTCCCATACCCAGCTTAGCATATTTATTGATCTAAATGTTCCCTCATTTTGGAAGGCCTTTTCCCAGTCTGAGGAGCATATTATCATCCTTTAAGTCTAGACTCAAAGGTCCTCTCCTTGAGGAGCATCAGACACTGGGGTCTGTCGGGGGGAAACAGGGGAGAGACACTGGGAGGTGGGGAGTTGGGGAGAGATGGCATGGGGAGAAATGCCAGATAAAGGTGATGGGGAAGAAGGCAGCAAATCACATTGCCATGTGTGTACCTATGCAACAATCTCGCATGTTCTTCACATGTACCCCCAAACCTAAAATGCATTAAAAAAAAAAAAAGCTAGAAGTAATGGGAAGCAAAGTTTGAAAATTCAACTTTATATGGCAATACTCGATGGGAAAAATACAATTTAGTATAGGACTCAATGAACAGTTCTTTTAAATTACACTATTTCTTTTTTTTTTTTTTTTTTTGGAGACGGAGTTTCGCTCGTTACCCAGGCTGGCTGGAGTGCAATGGCGCGATCTCGGCTCACTGCAACCTCCGCCTCCTGGGTTCAGGCAATTCTCCTGCCTCAGCCTCCTGAGTAGCTGGGATTCCAGGCACGCGCCACCATGCCCAGCTAATTTTTTTTTGTATTTTTAGTAGAAACGGGGTTTTACCATGTTGACCAGGATGGTCTCGATCTCTTGACCTTGTGATCTACCCGCCTCGGCCTCCCAAAGTGCTGGGATTATAGGCTTGAGCCACCGCGCTCGGCCTAAATGACACTATTTCTTAAAAAAAAAAAAAAAAAATCCCCTCCTCAGAGTCATCATCCTCCCTGACCACCCTAGCTAAAGCAACCTCTCCCAATGATTCCTTCTCATGAGCCTATCTGCAGCCATCACATTCTGTAACATGTTTATCATCTTGTTTATTGGCTATTTCCTCCACTAAAGGGTTGGTGAGGGCAGGGATAGTGTCTGTCTTATTCTCTGCTATAACTCTGGTGTCTGGCATAAAACAGGTGTTCAACAGACACTTAAATGAACAAATTAAAAGAATTAAAAAAAAAAAAAACCCAGGCTCCTGACTTACGGAGATCAGCAACATACCACATGATTCACTACAACACGACTAAGCATGAAGGGGACAGAATGAAAGGGTGCTGAGGGAGGCATCCATTTACTTTTAAAATCTGTATCGAAGACCAAGAAAGGATACTGTCATACACATCACCATGAACAGATATAATCAAATGACAAGCTCATGCTATTTACCATAAAACCAGGGATCCAGACTGTAAGAAGTAATTTCTCAGTTTCTGTGCTAAGCAGCCAGTACTCACTGCCTCCCTAGTCCTTACTGTTCCTGAAGGTGCGAGAAGCCTCTAGTCAGGACTTACCAGCCATTACGGAGTAGTTGAAGTGTTCTGCTGCTGGATCCAGGTTTACAACTTGAACAGAGCGGTTGAGGGCTTCACAGTGCTGGACCATGGTGGCACAGTAGGTACTCTGTAATATACAAGGCATTGTGAGAGATTAAAGCAACAGGTAGTGTAGGGCTACCCTCCATACTCTGGAATGCTATCCACTAAAGTAAAAACTAAGCCTTCAACAACCAAGAGAACAAAAAACGAAAAAACAAACAAACGAAAAACAACCAAGAGGCTGACTGAAAAGGGAAAAGACACCTGACTGGACTGCAGATACAAACCTGACTTAGACTAATGGGTAACTCTGGGGAAGTTACTTCTCCACTCTGCCCCTGAACTTTCTTGTCTCTAACTTGGATGTCCTCCATAATCACTAAGGCTCCTTACTGCTCTAACATGTGACAAGCAGTATTTAAAGGCAAGATTTCTGGTTACATAGTATAATACCTAACACAGGATCTCTACCAGAATTTGTACAGTACAAACAAAGCTTTAGGTAGGATGGTCAGGGATGATGTCTCTGAGTAGAGGATATCTGAGTATATGAGAATGAGCTTGTCAACCTAAGGGGAAGAGCATTCCAAGATGAAGGAGCGTCAAGGTCAATAAATAGTCTGGGCCAGGCACAGTGGCTCACGCCTGTAATCCAAGCACTTTGGGAGACTGAGACGGGCAGATCACTGAGGTCAAGAGATCGAGACCATCCTGGTCAACATGGTGAAACCCTGTCTCTACTAAAAATACAAAAATTAGCTGGGTGTAATGGTGTGCACCTGTAGTCCCAGCTACTTGGGAGGCTGACGCAGGAGAATCGTTTGAACCCAGGAGGCGGAGGTTGCCATGAGCCAAGTTTGCACCATTGCACTCTAGCCTGGCAACAGAGCAAGACTCTGTCTCAAAAAAAAAAAAAACGTCTGGAGGTGGCTGTTCTCTTAGTGCCTTTACACATACTGTTGTCTCTGTCTGGAATAGGTCACTGCAGCCTTGACTTCCTAGGCTCAAGTGATTCTCCAGCCTCAGTCTCCAGAGCAGTTGGGGCTACAGGCTCTCGCTACCATGCCCAGTTAATTTTTGTATTTTTGGTAGAGATGGGGTTTCACCATGCTGCCCAGGCTGGTCTTGAACTCCTGGGTTCAAGTGATCTCCTAGCCTCAGCCTCCCAAAGTGCTAGGATTACAGGCTTAAGCCACCACACCTGGCCACATCACACTGTATCTTAATTGACAGGTCTTCTATTTGTGTTCCCCAAAAAACTACAGGCTCTGGGTAAGTTGAAGGTCACATCTTAGTTACATGTACATGTCTTTTACCCAGAATAAGTCAATAGCTTAGAACAATGTGTTTATTAAAGACTGTGGCCTCATGACACCTCCAAAGACTCTAGTGTTTCCGTCACTTCTTTTTTATTTTTGAGACAGTATCTCTGTCACCCAGGCTGGAGTGCAGTGGCAGGATCACAGCTCACCACAGTCTCAAACTCCTGGGTTCAGGTGATCCTTCCACCTCAGGCTCCCGAGAAGCTGGTACTTCAGGTGACTGCCATCAGGGCTGGCTAATTTTTGCATTTTTTTTGTAGAGATAGGATTTTGCCATGTTGCCCAGGCTGGTCCCAAACTCCTGGGCTCAGGCGATCCACCCACCTCTGCCTCCTAAAGTGATAGGATTATAGGCGTGAGCCACTACGCCTGGCTATGTTTCCCACACATCTGTTATTTGATCCCTGTCTTCACCATTCCCACTGTATTTGAATGTTGCTAACATTCCCTTAGTATTTGTTTACAAGAAAAAATTTTATCCCTATTTTAACTACCAGTTATATGATATAACGTGAAGTCAGACATAAAATTATATGAAACTTTTAAATGCTCTTAATTTTAGCTAAAATTAAAAGCTCTGAGTCGGCCAAGCGTGTTGGCTCATGCCTGTAATCCCAACACTTTGGGAGGCCAAAGCAGGAGGATCACGAGGTTAGAAGTTCAAGATCAGACTGGCCAACATGGTGAAACTCCATCTCTACTAAAATATACAAAAATTAGCTGGGCATGGTGGCTCATGCCTGTAATCCCAGCTACTTGGGGGGCTGAGGTAGGAGAATTGCTTGAACTGGGACACGGGAGGCAATTACAGTGAGCCGAAATCGAGCCACTGCACTGCAGCCTGGGCTACAGAGCGAGACTCCCGTCTCAGCCAATTAAAAAAGCTGTGAGTCGCCGGGCGCAGTGGCTCAAGCCTGTAATCCCAGCACTTTGGGAGGCCGAGGCGGGTGGATCACGAGGTCAAGAGATCGAGACCATCCTGGTCAACAGGGTGAAACCCAGTCTCTACTAAAAATACTAAAAATTAGCTGGGCATGGCGGCGCGTGCCTGTAATCCCAGCTACTCAGGAGGCTGAGGCAAGAGAATCGCTTGAATCCAGGAGGCGGAGGCTGCGGTGAGCCGACGTCGCGCCATTGCACTCCAGCCTGGGTAACAAGAGCGAAACTCCGCCTCAAAAAAAAAAAAAAAAAAAAAAAAAGCTGTGAGTCTAAGAACTGCTTTCTGAAAAGACCTAGGGATTTAAAAAGTGCTGAAGATACACTAGCACTGATCACAATTTCTCCTACATGCAAGGTGAAGAACTGAAAGAGAAATGAAAAAGGAACAATTTCCTCAATAATGATCCGATGTCCCTTCATGTTGGGTCCATGTACCACTTAAAAGCCCCTTAATCCTTAAATACCAAAAGTCCACGTCCCAAGTTCTGAGAAACAGTAATTAACGAGACCCCACTTTACCCTCCTGGGAACGAGACAGGGCCGGATTCTGGAGTTTAGACAAAACTAGATTTAAATTTTTGCTGTAAATTACTGGCTGTGCGATCCTGGAGAAAAAAAAAAAAAAAAAAAAAACTTTACCTTTCTGTGTCTCGTTTTCCGTAAAATGAGAATAATGCTATCTCTCTTACAGGATTGTTGTAGAGATAAGCGAGGCGTTTAATCTACTGCCTGGAGCGTAACTATCCAATAGATATTAACAACTACCATCATTTCCCTTTCAAAACAACAACAAAAAAGAACGTGAAGCCAGAGAGCTTAAATGAGTTGCGTAGGGTCTCAGGGTTTCCAATACCTACACCCGCCGGCTCACTCAGGACCCAACCTCCCGCCTCCCACGAACTCCTACTTTTGTCTCCTCTCCCTGTCCCCCTAGAGCCTCACCTTCCCGCTGCCAGCGGGGCCCATGACCAGTTGCGCATACCGGGTCATGTCGGCTTTCGGAGATACGGCAGCCGCCTGCTACACTCGCTCAGCCTTCGCGCCACGCCCACTGAGTTTCGAGAAAATGAAGTAGGAACCAATCGCAATCCACGTTCTTTCTACGACTCCTGTTCTACCACACCTCCTACTACGGGGCAGCCCGCGGGCCAAATCCCGTGAGAAACACGTTCTGCGGAAAACGGAGATAATTTGCGCGTGCGCAGAAGTAGTTGCTGGAAATCTGCTGGTGGGATGCTGGCTACGCCTCGTTGCCTGGGTAATAACGGATAACGCTCCGCATCCTTGCGCCACGTGCTTCAGTCCGTGATTTGCGTGTAGCTGTTTGACCTGCATGATGACCTTCGCGATTTGCAAATGTGCTTACAATCTGGAATACTGAAGTGCAAGGCACCTCTTGTTTCGGGGAACATGCATATTTTCCTCCCATGACGCACCGCTTCCACAAAGAGGTGCAAACACGCAGCCACTGCAGCGCTCCCGCCCCTCCCCCACCGTAACTCTAGGGTCGCGGATCTGCCCGTCCCGCTCTCCCGAAGCTCTTCGGGCAGTGTCCGAACGGCTTCGGAGGGGCGAGAAGCCGGCTTCGGAGCCGCCTTTCAGTGATACCAGCCGCTTGACGCACGCGTTCTGTCGCGGGAGGGGTACGTGGACAGCCGCTCCCGCACACGGCTCGCTGTCCCGGTGCCGCAGAAATGCCGGACCACGGTCCGGGGTCCGACTGGACGGAGCGTAGCTCTTCTGCAGAGCCGCCCGCAGTGGCCGGGACCGAGGGTGGCGGCGGCGGGTGAGGTTGAGGGCCCTGGGGTGGGTGCAGGGCAGCGTGGGGCCCCGGGTGCTGAGCCCCGTGGAGGAGGGCTCCGGCCTGCCCCGCGTCTCGGGGGCTGGCCCCGGAGCCCTCAGGTGAGAGGCGGGGAGCAGTTGTGTTGTGGACAGGAGGGAAGAGGGACGGGCTGCTTCACGGTCGAGGGAGGGCCTCTGAGGGAAGCTTCGGAGGAGCGTTTGGTGCAGTGACCAAGCGGTGACTGCGACAGTCGCCCGCGTGCATCCCTCCGCCCCGAGGGGGCGCTGCGAGCCTTGCTGGGATGGTTGCCGTCTGGCGCGCGACTGTGTGTCCACCGAAAGGCGAGGCGGCGGGGGCTGAGGAGGATGTCCCCGGTTCAACGGGCACGGGGGGCATCCAGGCCCCAAAACCAGTTACTTCCCGCTTGTGACGTGAGCCGCCTTCCTGTCGGACGGGGGTTTCTTTCTTCGTTTTTTGAGACGGAGTCGCGCACTGTCTCCCGGCCTGGAGTGCAGTGGCGCAGCATCGGCTCACTGAAGCCTCCGCCTCCGAGGTTCACGCAATTCTCCTTGCCTCAGCCTCCCAACCCAAGCCGCTGGGATGACAGGTGTGAGCCGCCGCGCCCTGCCTTTGGGTTTATTTTCTGTTCTTTGAACTCCTTGGCTGACTGCTGGATCCTAGTGTATCAGGAGATACATGAACTCTTTTTATTTTTTTTTATTTTTTTGAGATTGGGTCTCACTCTGTCACCCAGGCTGGAGTACAGTGACACGATCTCAGCTCTCTGCAAGCCCCCCCCAATCCCGAGTTCAAGCAATCCTCTTGCCTCAGCCTCCTGAGTAGCTGGGACTACAGGTGTGTGCCACCATGCTCAGCTAATTTTTGTATTTTTAGTAGAGATTTTGTATTTGTGTTTTGCCATGTTGGCCCAGGCTGGTCTCGAACTCCTGGGCTCAAGTGATACGCTCCTGTTGGCCTCCCAAAGCACTGGAATTACAGGCGTGAGCTACCACATCTGACCCATGAACTCTTGGCCATTGAATGAATTGCAGGATGAGGGAAGGAAGGGTGTTTTGTCTTAAGTTTAGAGAAGAAAAAAGAACTTGTGTGAAATTGGAAACATTACAGACCAATTATCAGTTCTAGCACACCTTAATTACTATTCAAGGACCAGTCTTTTCAACACCCAAATCACTTCATTAAAAATAAAGATAGCAGGCCGGGCGCGGTGGCTCAAGCCTGTAATCCCAGCACTTTGGGAGGCCGAGGCGGGTGGATCACGAGGTCGAGAGATCGAGACCATCCTGGTCAACATGGTGAAACCCCGTCTCTACTAAAAATACAAAAAATTAGCTGGGCATGGTGGCGCGTGCCTGTAATCTCAGCTACTCAGGAGGCTGAGGCAGGAGAATTGCCTGAGCCCAGGAGGCGGAGGTTGCGGTGAGCCGAGATCGCGCCATTGCACTCCAGCCTGGGTAACAAGAGCGAAACTCCGTCTCAAAAAAAAAAAAAAAAAAAAAAAAAAAATATCATGGATAGCCCAGGAGCCCCAACTACTTTATTGAGCTCACTGTAGGAATGAGATTAGGAAGCTATAAAATTAAGACCAGGACAGACGTGGTGGCTCATGGCTGTACAAAAATTAGCCAGGCTTTGTGGCGAGTGCCTATAGTCCCAGCTACTTGGGAGGCTGAGGATCGTTTGAGCCCAGGATTTTGGGGCTATGATCATGACACTGCACAGTAGCCTGGGTGAAGGAGGGAGACCCCATCTCTAAAAATCTTGGCGCCATTAGGCTTTAACCAGAACCATAGGAAAAAATTTACAAGACATTATTTCTGATAGAAACATGAAAGTGAAAATAATATTCAATACTATTCTTTTTTAAAATTTGAAATATGTTGTCTGGGTTCAGTGGCTCATGCCTTTAATCCCAGCACTTTGTGAGGCCGAGGCAGGCTGATTACCTGAGGTAAGGAGTTCAAGACCAGCCAGGCCAACATGGTGAAACCCTGTCTCTACTAAAAATACAAAAATTAGCTGGGCGTAGTGGCGCTAGTCCCAGCTACGTGGGAGGCTGAGGTGGGAGAATCACTTGAACCTGGGAGGCAAAGGTTGCAATGAGCCGAGATCATGCCACTGCTCTCCAGCCTGGATGGTACAGCAAGACCCTTTCTCAAAAAAAAAAAAAAAAAAAAAAAAATTGAAATATGTTGTTAAGTGCTTGTAACCTAATTATTACATATTTATGTGCCTTTTTTTTTTTTTTTCAACAGATCAGCTGGACACTCTTATTGCCAGAATTCCAAAGGTTCCGGTGAGTAGTGCATATAAAGCAAATAATACCTATAAGTAACATGGTTCAGAGAAGCCAATTTGTCTGTAACTACTTACACAATACAGTTATTTTATTTTATTTTTTTTTGAGACGGAGTCTCTCTCTGTTGCCCAGGCTGGAATGCAGTGGTACGATCTCGTCCCACCGCAGCCTCTCCCTCCTGGGTTCAAGTGATTCTCCTGCCTCAGCCTCCTGGGTAGTAGGGACTACAGGTGTGTGCCACCATGCCTGGCTAATTTTTGTATTTTTAGTAGAGACAGGGTTTTGCCATGTTGGCCGGTTTGGTCTTGGACTCCTGACCTCATGTGATCCACCCACCTCTGCTTCCCGAAATGCTGGGATTACAGGCATGAGCTACCGCCCCTAGCCCACAATAGAGTTTTAAAAATAGATTGTATTAGCATCCCTGGTGAACTTAAAGATTTCAAAGAACAACCAGGAAGGTTTACTCTTGTCTGTTGGTATAGTATATTTTACATCAAGCATTTTTAAAATTAGCAGTGAATCCTAAAATAACTGTATTTATAGCTGATATTGGTTGAAAAGCACAGAGCACAGCCTGGGGTTTATACATGGATAGAAGAAAAAAATTTAAATTGAATAGCTTCAAAGAATAGAAAATATTTCTCAGTGCTGATGTTTTCTTTTCACTTGAAAGACAGGATAGAGCTTTCAAAGTACTCACCTCTTCTCTGCCAGAGTTAAGAGAGTGAGTAAAACAAGCCCCTAAAGGTCTCTCATTAATTGCTTTTTTTCCCTTGGAGCTGGAATTAACTGACTTCAGGAGTATGTGTGTGTGTATATACATTTTAAGTATAGCAGTTATAGTAGATTTTAAGTGTTTCATTTAAATTCAGTGATATATAAATGTGGGTTTACTTCGCTTTTCCTGGGTAAATATATAGTCCTTACACTTACCTAGGAAAAAAATATACAGACATATACCTGTGCATACATACATATATAAATAAATAATGTGGTCATTTAAAAAATGTGTTGCAGGCCAGGTTTGGTAGCTCACGCCTGTAATCCCAGCACCTTGGGAGGCCAAGGCAGGCAGATCACCAGAGGTTGGGAGTTTGAGAAATCCTGTCTCGACTAAAAATGCAAAATTAGCTGGGCATGGTGGCACATGCCTGTAATCTCAGCTACTCAGGAGGCTGAGGCAAGAGAATCATTTGAACCTGGGAGGTGGAGGTTGCAGTGAGCCGAGATGGCACCACTTCACTCCAGCCTGGTGACAGAGCAAGACACTGTCTCAAAAAAAAAAAAAAAAAAAAAAAAAAATTTGTTCAGCCTGGGTTCATTAATTTAGATTCCTCACCAGAATTCTTACTGAATTACAGTTAAATGTAAAAAAGAAACACAAAACAATATAATTATTAATAATACATTACAGATATATAGGGAAAAAAGAAGAAATATTAACAATGATCAGTATGAGACAGAGACAGATTGACTCAGTTATATAAAAGAAAAATTTCTGAACAAATCTCTGAAAGGCAATATATCCAAGTGTTTTAAAATAATTACTACAAGGCTGGGTGCAGTGGCTCACACTGGTAATCCCAGCACTTTTTGGAGGCTGAAGTAGGTGGATTACTTGAAGTCAGGAGTTTGAGACAAGTCTGACCAACATGGTAAAAACCTGTCTCTACTAAAAATATTTTAAAAATTAGCCATGTGTGGTGGTACATGCCTGTAGTCCCAGCTACTCGAGAGGCTGAGGCAGGAGAATCGCTTGAACTTGGGAGGTGGAGGTTGTGGTAAGCTGAGATAGGGCCACTGCACTTCAGCCTGGGTGACAGAGGGAGACTCCATCTCAAAAAAAAAAAAAAAATTACTACTAGATCGTGAGATTAAAGGTTTTTTTTTTCCTTTTTATACACTTAGATTACTTCACCAATCTTCAGTGAACAATTTGTAGTTTATTGCTGTTTATAATTGGAGAAGAAAAGG